TATTTTCCTATTTCAACAAATTATCGATTAGTAAATAAACCAATTATTTTTACCTGCATAATAGTACAATAATTATATTTAGCCGATAATTTTTTCAACTTATCGTTTTTAATTATTACATCTTTGTATTCGGCGATTTTACTATTCTATAATTCGGCAGAATAAAGGTAATCGTCAATAAAATACATAGTTTTTTCGTTTGTCCACTCCATGTTGCCCGCAACACGCTGCACCAATTCGAGGGCTGTTAGATAGACAGCGACACTGTTTGACACGTTGAATCATGTGGATAGATGACGCATTCGACAATCAACAACGGTCAACTTGTAGCATGCTGCAAGGAGTCATATTCTTTGTCGCTTTGTGTTCCTTCTATGGAAGGACTGTGTGTAGCATGCGTCAATGCCGCATGCTACATGTTGCCTCAGTGGAATTCCGCCTTTATACCAGATTTATTAAAAATATTTTGGTTCGGATATAGAAGTGATGTAGCGCATGTTGGAATATAGAAGGCATGTAGCGCTCCTAGTAATGAACTCATATAATAATAATAATATAACTATATAATTATATGGGTTCATTACTAGGAGCGCTACATGCCTTCTATATTCCAACATGCTCTACATCACTTCTATATCCGAACCAAAATATTTTTAATAAATCTGGCATGCGCATCAAACAAATTTCAGTTACCACTCTACTTTGAACGGAGATTATTGTCTGGCCAAATTGGGCAATTACAAAAAATTTTTGAAGAGAATTTTTAAAGGGGCTAAACCTAAGAACAAATATGTTAATTTCGGGCATAGTTATCGACGCAAAAAATCATTAAGACCATCAAAACAACGCAAAACCTATTTATTATATCGACGGTAGGCAATAAAAATCTTATAACTACAACAGCCTATTTGAGCTACAGAAACATAATCTTTGTAAAATTCATCAAATTATTCACTAATTTAATTTTAGAAAAAGGTCCTTAATGACTTTTTGGAATAAATCGATGATATATACCAAATTATTTAAATATATTATTGTATCTAAAGTTATTAAATTTCAGTAAATTTATTTTAGGTTATAAACATATTTTTACTCATCCATTAAAAACCTTTATATTCCAGTTCTTCTTTAACAGAGGTACAATAGATAGTTTTAAAACAATTTCATTACCTGCCTCGATTCAGTGGATTATATATAATTTTTCCACACTTAAATATAATTTTAAAAGTTTACATTTAGTTTGGGAATTGTATTTAATTCTCATGGAATCATTTCATTTCCGTTAAATATTACTTTTCAGAAATTATTATTCATAATTGTATGTTAATTTACTAAGAATTTAAGAGAAAAAAACAATATCTGCCTTTTCTAAAATTCTCAGATTTCCAATGACATATTATATGTATACATTCTGACTACTAGCGGACCCAAGATATAATTTTGGGGAGGAGAGGAGCTTCAGCCCTAAAGATTTTTTTTTCATACACCAATAACGATAATTAATTTGAAAAAAGAAAGAAATTAACTACCTATATGAAATGGTGTTTAAGTGGTTCTTGAAGTCCTATTAAATGTAATTACAGGATCAAGAATAAATTAAGAGATAGTTTTTAATATTTTTTTCTGTAAAATACAGTCATATTTTACTATTTTGGGGAGGGCTTCAGCCCGAAAGCCCCACTGTAGATCCGCCTGTGATTCTGACTATTTATCCGAAAATTTATTTTCAAACAAAAAAATTGTTTTTCTTTTTTTCTCTTTAAGTTAATTAAAAAAATCTTTTATACTTTATACTTAGCCTTTTTTTATTATTACTAACAATAGGAGAAGTTAATTATTTAAAATAAACCAAATTAAAGGTATTTCATAAGAAGAAATATTGGGCATCTAAGACTTGTAAGGCGACTTCAATGAGAATAAGACCTAAATGATATTAAAGTTCATTTAATGTTACATCTATTTACCGAGTTTAATCAAAATCGTTGAGCCGTTTTTTGTAAAAATCGTGTAAAATCGATTATATAAAGTGGCACTTCCGGTTTGCCGATTTTAAGGGAATTATAACATCCCAGGCGTATAACCACCTTAAACACGCAGTTTCACTTTCCTGCGACTTTTCATTTTTGAGCTAAGCTGTTCACATTACACACACATTCACAAAACATTTATTTATGGGACTTTATAGTTATTGGGTTCAGGGGACTTCGAATGTGTATTTTCTTTCAAAACTCAGATTTGAAAATTTTCACGAACGGAATACTTTCTATTTCTGTGTATTATATATGTAGATAAGTGAAAGTAATAAAATCAGGTAAAATTGTGTATATGTTGGTACCTTAAGTATGAAGTCTTATGGCATGTAGGGATCCTAGTAAGGAAACCTTTAAAATATGCACTACCAATCTTTTCATTTAACAACAAATCTGAACCCTAATAACCATTTTAAATTCTAGATAATCTTCATCTGAACATACAACTTCAATACGTCGATTGAAAGCCATTACTTTATATACTAAAATTTAAATTTAAGCGTTAAATTACGTTGCATGAGAGAAATTCGATGCTTAATTTTCCGAGAAAACTAACGGTTGAAATTTGTATGCAATTTATATTATATTTCCGTGAAAGAGAATTCTTTATCGACGATGTACCCAGTTACGTTTTGAAAACTGACGGCATCAGTCATCATGGTTTTCTATCAGTCAACGACAATTTTCTTCTCCTGTCAAATGATAGTTGCAGTTGGAAAAATAAACAATTTATTTAAAAACAGTGTTTTGCAGGGTGCTAAATCTTAATTTGAATTTTGGAAACGAATTTTCTTTCGGCGTTCCGAGATATACGCAAAAAGGAAAGGTGAAAAAAAAATAGTATGTAAACTTGCAATTCAGTTCCACAGAAAACAAAATGAACCTCTAAGTAATCGTCGACTTAATTTTTTTCCGTTTTTAATTACCATTTGACTAGATTTCTTTGATGACTTTGACGCCATTAGTTTTCAAAACAAAACCAAGTACATCGTCAGTCAAGATGAATTCTCATTTAGGGACACATGCGATACATTCTATCAGTTTGAGTTTTCTCTTTAAATGGAGCATCAAATTTAAATTTCAGTACATAAAGCTACGTCTTTCGTCGCCGACTGACCAAAGTTGTGTGCTCAAATGAGGGTCATCTCGAATTTAAAATGGTTATCAACTTTAAGCCGTGCGTTAGTAGCTGTGTGTGTAGCTAAATATGAACTATGAAAGAATTTGATTATTGACTAAAATAGGTAAAAAAATTTGCCTATAATTAAATAAAATATTGTTTTTAAATATTATAGTCTTATTCGAGTGAAGTCGTCTTAAAGCTGTTATTATTATTAAGAGATGATTGCAATAAGAGAAGCCTTAACTTACACCAAGACAACCGATAGTAACAATTGGGCCGTGGTAACGGACTCAAACAGTGCAATCCATGCTTAAAAAATAGTAAACCGACTACCATACTGGCGAGAGCTATTAGAAATCTTTGGTGGAAACTAACGGAAGAGGGGGAAGTTCCTCTGGGTTCCCTTCAGACTATAAAATTGTAGGAAATTAACAGGCAAAGGAGCCAATATGGCGAGAAATAAATTCGACTGTTATTAACGAAACCCCCATTGAAGATTTTTTACAACATATCAAGAAAGAATTGTGAAAAATATGGCAGAACAGAAGGCAACAAAAAGAAGCTAAATTAAAAGAAATAAAAAGCCAGTGTTCCAAATAGAAGAGACAGTCGTGTGCCGATTAAGAATTGGGCTTTGTGAATTTTCACATGCCTGTTTACTAAGAGGACTGCAACCACCGACATGTGGGATCTGCAAGGTGCAAAGAACAGTCCAACACATCATCAAAGACTGCCGAGTATTTAAGAATATAAGAAAAAAATTAGATATGGCTCAGAGCCTAAACAAACGCGTGGTTGTCTGTTCCAATATAATTGCAAATGTGTTACAATTTTTTTAAATTTTACTTTCGTTTGATATATTTTCAGAGGGATGGGCACTCTAGGTATCTATGTCATTAAGCAATTAAATATCTAGCAAAGGTAAAAAAGAAATGAATTATAAAATGAAATTTTAATATAAATATCCCAGTTTTCGTGAATGTTATTCTTTTTGTCCCCGATCCTCGGCTGTTTTTATCAAATTATTAACATCCGTCTGAATCTCCGTAAATAGCTTCATCTCATCGTATCGTAACCTACAACTATTTTATTTAGGAAACTCTTGGGATTTGGGCGTTTTCAATGTGGAGATCGGCAAATTTATTTTATTTAATTAGGAAATGAAAACTCGTAAATACTCACTTCCTTTTCACTTGGATCATAGGATAATGTGATCACACAATCAAGAAAAAAGGGACTCTACAAAAATATTGGACCGTTTGGCGTGACCTATGACCTCAACATTTTGAAATAACGAGGTTATATAGGCCAAACAGCCCAATATTTTTGTAGGACAACTTTTTTCTCTATTTTGTGATCAAATTATCTTACGATCAAAGTGGAAAGGAAGTTAATATTTACGAGTTTTTAGTACCCAATTAAATAGACAAATTTTGCGGATCTCCAGAATAAAAATGCCCCAATCCAAAGAGTTTTCGTAGATAAAATAGGTTACGATGAGATGAAACTATTCACGAAGTTTCAGGCAGATGTTAATAATTTGTTAAAAAGGAGTCTGTACCATGGGCAATAAGCGGCATTGTCCATGCAGTTAAATGAAAATCCACACATCGTCAAAAAACAGCAATAAATTAAATAAAAGATTGAAAACATATTTAACACCTATAAAATATCTAAGAAAATATTGTTAAAAAAATGCTTATTGAAGAGAAAAAATAAATGGAAGAATAAACGGTACATAAGCAGAAGATTGAAAAAAAAAATCAATAAATTAAAAAAATAACCGTTTTATAAAATGTTGAATGTATCTAATCGATAAATTTAATAGGACAGCATGCAATTCCACGTTCGAGAAGGTTACATTTTCGAGTGTTATATTAATAGTGTGTGCCTAGTTTTAGTTTAATTTACACTGAAAATACTAAAAATTGACGTATTCTCAGTACCATGTCTGGAGATACAAATGAACAACTTCTTAAAGTTTTGAGAATAGTTAACGAAAAAGAAAAAATAAATAGTTTAGAACTGTCATCCCTGTTAAATTTGGCTCACAATTCAATTATTGGTTTAATTAAAAGTCTCAGTGTTCGAGATGGACTTATAGAAACTGAAACAGAAACCCAAGTTACCTGGGAATTGACTGATGAAGGTAATGCAATTGTTAATAGTGGAAGTTATGAAGTACAGGTTTTTAATTATTTAATTACAAATAACAGTGCTCCCTTGCCGGATGTTATGAAAAATGTTCCCAATGCAAAAATCGGTTTTAGCAAGGCAATGGCCAATGGTTGGATCAAAATAGACAAGTCAAATAATACAGTATCAACAGTTGTAGATAATGTTGTTGATCTTGTCAAAGCAGATTTGGAGAACATCAAGAACAATGATTTTACTGCTGTTAGTGCTGCAAATAAAATAGATTACAAGAAAAGGAAACTAATTAAGGAATGTTCCATCACAGTTTACAAAGTCAGTAAAGGCTCTTCCTTTTCTTTAACACTAGAGAAAGGTGAAACGGAGTTGACTCCTGATATGATAAGTAGTGGATCTTGGAAAACAAAAACATTCAAGCCATACAATTTTGAAGCTTTGGGTATTCAGACACCTAGAGGACATCTTCATCCTTTGCTTAAAATTCGAGATGAATTTAGGAGAATATTTCTCGAACTCGGTTACACTGAAATGTGGACATCTAATTATATAGCAAGTTCTTTTTGGAATTTTGATGCATTATTTCAACCTCAGCAACATCCTGCCCGGGATGCACATGACACTTTCTTTCTCCAAAAACCTAAAGAAACCAATTTTATACCCGAAGAAATTTGTAAGAGAGTAGCAACTGTTCACAGTAAGGGTGCCTATGGTTCAATTGGTTATAAGTATGAATGGGATATAAAAGAGGCTAAGAAAAACATCCTAAGAACTCATACAACAGTAAATAGTGCTAGAACTTTGTACAATCTTTGTCATAATAAAGAGTTTAAACCGATTAAAATGTTCAGTATTGATCGTGTGTTTCGAAATGAAACATTAGATGCCACACATTTGGCAGAGTTCAACCAAATTGAAGGATTAATAGCCGATTATGATTTGTCTTTAGGTGATTTAATTGGTGTGATAAACCAATTTTTCAACAAAATAGGTTTCGATAAAGTTAAGTTTAAACCTGCTTATAATCCCTATACAGAACCAAGTATGGAAATCTTCTGTTATCACAATGGTCTGCAAAAATGGATTGAGGTTGGAAACTCAGGAATGTTTAGGCCTGAAATGTTGCTTACTCTTGGACTTCCACCAAATGTAAATGTCATTGCTTGGGGTCTTTCTGTAGAACGCCCAGCAATGATAAAATATCATTTTAATAATATCAGAGATTTAGTTGGACCTAAAGTGCAACTTTCTACAATTTATGATGATCCAATAGCACAAATGAAAAGTTTGAGTTGAGTTTATTGAGTGTTTTTTATTTTTTTTCAGGTGTTTATCTGAAAATTTTTTCATTGTATATATTTGACTTCTCAATAAAATCACAAGATTTTACACATTTGATTATGGTCAAACCTTGATCTTTTTTTTTTATTTCTAAAAAAGCACATAGTGATCCTCGCTGAATTAATTATTATGCTGTGACTGTGAATTAATTATTATGAAGTTATAAGAATAATATGGCATTAATAATATTTTCAATAAACTTGAAATGAATACTATCATATTCATGTATCTATTTAACAAAATCAATCATAATTTTTTTGTTATTTACTTGTCTCCAAAACTAACTTTAAAGACATGTCTTAATTCTTTAAAGCATTTAGTTTGGTCTTAAAAATATTTTAATTAATATTACTCTCCGAGGCGTCTGAAAAGAAGATGGCCTCAGGACCTTCTAATATAGAACTTTAATTTGAGTTCTACCAATGGGTAGTTTCTCTTCATGCTGTACATGTCATGTTACCAATGTCACATTTACTTGTTTTTTTCATGTAATACAGTTGTAAATTTCATTAAAATAAAAAAATTTTATTAGTTTGTCTGTTGCAATTATTAATTATATAATGTAGAAATTCTGACCCCTAAATATATTTTGTTAGTATAGATTCTGTTCTTTATCAGTAGTGAAAAATAGAGTCACTTGGTCTTTTTAACGTGGTAACGGTCAATATGGAAACTTTTATTGAATTTTTTATTAATTAAAATGTTTTACCTTTTGTCAACAGTCTGTTACATTAACTGAGTTTTCTTTTTCAAAAACAAATTATTTCAACAACTCAGGAATTCTATATTACTAAAAAGTTTAACTTTAACAAAATGTGTCATGACCGTATGCCTCAGTTTATTTTTTAATTAACAGATTTAAATCTGGCTAAAAAGGAAATGGAATAATTATCCTCTGCAGATTTTTCTATTACTTTGTAGATATTTTCCTATAACATTTTGCCAATCCAGAGTTCTTTGCACTCATTATTTTATATCAGACTAACTAATCATCTCAGTTTGATAAATATCCTGATAATAATTATTTTATCATTTTTAGTACAGTAAACTTGTTACATGATCCTCAATGTACTTGATAGAACTATTAAAGACTTAACCTCTTTGGAGATGACTTCTGATGTTTGATAATCTATCTCTTACCTTTGGTTCATTTTTAGAAGTTTTAATATGACTTGGCAATGTTGAAAACAAAAATGTTCTGATGTAGAGGTTGTGTTGTTAACACCTATCTTTAGCATTCTCAACTATAGTGATGCGGATTCTTATCCCATCTGAGCAGGTTGGAATAAGTTTAGTTTTGCCTCTAGAACAACCCCTCATATGCCAGAAGTAACAAGGAAGGGGTTAATTAAAAAAAAAAAAAGGAGTCCTATAGGTTAAATTATTTCTTCTCCTTTTTTGTTTTAATCTTTGATTTTAATATATCATAATGTGACATGTATGGTTGCCTCTCAAACCCCTCTCAGCTCTGCTTTATGAAAGCTAATTAAATAAATTTTAAAATTAATATTTTTATTCATAGAGGATAGTGTATAACAAACATAAATATATTTCTTAGATGGAAGTTTTAAAACTGGAAACACTACTCAATATTAACAGGTATAAGATATTCAACTTTATTTATTAGGTAGTAGCAGCCCATGATGTGTACCACTGTCTCCACTCTCATGACCAGCTCCACTCCTAATACTTTTCTATAACAAATATGCATCACAAAAATTCTGGGCTATTTGCTTCTTTATTATTATAATTTAAACTTGACTGATGTATAAAAATTTAAAGCAAATGCAAGAATCCAATTATAATGTAACTATAATTCATAACTTTGATTAAAGTTTATTTTATTCATGACATAAGTATAAAAATATTTATTTATATTATGACATTAACGTTATAATAATTGATTGGACATATTTAAGTGGTTAATAAAAATTTAATTACATATCTTCACTTTTTCTCCCTAGACTGATGTACATGAAGTGATTAATTTACAAAAAAAAAATTATGTTTATCTTAAAAAAAAAAAGATTTAAAATTGTGATTTACAAATAACTAATATAAATAGAACAATTATACAACACAATACAAGCTACCTGCCTTCTGAGAGAATATTTATGTTTACAGTATATTCATAAACAAAGCAATTTATCTGTTTTGCTACAATTTTATTAAACATAGCTACTAATAATTTCAAGGGAACAGGATGATAGTTTAATCAGTAAGACACTGCTCCTATTCTCCCAGTATTTAAGTCAAGAATGGTAGGTAATTATATATTCTGTTATACCAACCATGTATGACCCTGATGTTGGGATTTCTTCCTGGAGCACACCCTGCCTTTAAGATTATTAATTAGGGGGAAAAATAAACAGTGGAGTGTGATCTTGTTCATACCACCCCTTTACACAAGAGATGACAGAAATACTATATTTATTTACAAATCCACAGCCCAAAGACCTGGAAGTTTTCTGGATTCCATGAACAAGTGTGATCGAAGTGATTGTGAACAACGTGTAATCTGTGCGAACTAGTACCGAAGTTTAATATGAAAATAGTAAATTTTGTTCCTAATCAGCCCTGATTCATCATATTATTGTATGTTGCTATTTAAGTTTCACAATTGTCTCAAAAAGCATGTGCGCTCTTAACAAACATATTATCGGTTTATTACAAAAAGTCATTAAGTAACATATCATAAAATCAAATCACTTAGTATTTTAATGATTTTTTCCACAGTGAAATTGACCATTGTGCATTTAGTATACCTATATTTGACATATAAAATGTTTTTTGTCATTTCAATGCATTTATTGTGTTTTGAATCGACAAATAAATTCTACATTCTTAAAAATGTACTTATTAATTTGCAATAAACTGACAATATATACATAATTACATTAAATATAAACATTCTATATGTAAATAATTATTTCTCTATTACTGCTAAAAACTTCTTATTAATGCACATTTGTTATGGAATAAAACAGTTTGTCATTGTGCATTGGATTAATTTTTTATTTCAATAAATAAAATAAATTTATCAGTAGTTTTATTGCTCAGAAAACTCATTCTTTATAAAAACAGTAAACAAATTTACCTCATTATCTAATCAAGTGGTGAGTGATATTAAAAATAACTACCTACTTCTAAATTACTTATATTTATAATGTGATAATGAATACATAAAAATATATATATATCATATATAATATATATTCTCCAATGGAAAGCAGCAGCACAAAACTGAGATAACTAGCAATCAATGCTGGAGCAGGCCAAGGTTCTACGTGTTGGTTGTAGAGATTACTTTCATTTATAATGAATATAATAAAAATTTATGTTAAACTCAAAGAAATAAATGTATTGTTATGTCAGCAGCAATGTAAAGTTATGTTTAAGGTCAAGATTGAGGTACTAATTTTAGTAGTATTGGATCCTTTGGAACTGTTATCATCGGAGAAGGAGCTAGTACTAAAGGTATCTTAGTTGCAGCACAAGGTTCTACACGATACTTTCTGAGTATAGTGATAAGACCTACTTTAGTTTGAAGTTTTCCAAATCTCATACCTGCACAAATAATGTAATTAAACTCATTTATTATAATTGCATTGAGTTGTATAGTAAATTTATCAAACTTACCTATACACATCCTAGGCCCTTCTCCAAAAGGCAGATAAGTGTATGGATTGATTGACCCTCTATTTTGTGCTGAAAAACGTTCTGGGTCGAATTTTTCAGGATTTGGATAATACTCTGGATCATGGTGTAAAGACCAAACAGGAATTACAATAGTGTCACCTGCCTCTATTTCATAATTATATGGAGTACTGATAGATTTAGTGCAGTACCTCAGTAAGAACCACAAAGTTGGATACTTTCTCATTGTTTCTGAAGAAAAAAAAATTAATTAAATATTTTTTTAAATTATTGGTTGTAAAATCATAGCGTAATGGTTTAGAAACAAAACTAGTTACTCCTGTACCTTTTGCGTCTTTGGTTAAAAACAAATGTATTTGTTATTCTGCCCCATCTACAGAATATAACTACTAAATAAGAATGAAAACATTTTTCGCAGATATAATACTAACAAGTTTGGTGCTAAACAGAGTAAAAATAATTGCATTGTGATAAGACGAACAGAATATAATATGTAATGAAAATCAATATTGTGTAAGTGCTTTTTCCAACTGTATTGTATTGTTTAAAACTGTTTCCAAGAAAATTAAAAGCTTTAAATTTATTTCATTTTAAACTATGTTTTGAACCTGTTGGTATATTGTCTAGTACCTCCATAATTATATTTCACATAATTAAGAATCATGTACGGTTACGTCATTCATTTTCATAAAAACTTGTTTAACAATTACCAAATAGTTCAAATAAACAGAATATTGTAAACAAAATATTTACCTTTATTTTTATCTCTAAACATTACTTACTTATTATTAGAAGAATTTTACTTGTCAAAAGTAAAGTTAAATATTCTTTCATTATATTTGTTTTAAAAATATATAATTTGCATTGATTCTTATATTAGCTATTTTAATTTTCCTATTATATCTACAATAATTATTTCTTTACTTTTGTAAGTATTATTATTAAATGAACTCTTAATATCAAATAAAGATAGGCCTTTGAGTAGGCACCTAATTGAATTTTCCTGTTTCTTAATTGATATTAGTTTACATATTTTTTTAATCATGTATATTATGTCTTATTAATTTTATTTTAAACTTTTTGAAATTCAAAGCATTGTGGAGGGGGTGGCAAAATGATATTCTTGCTTTATTGAAGGGGGATCATCTCTTAAGTCTGCATCTGTCAGAAAGATCAAGTTGACTAAGATTAGCCATGCAGATAACTTGAAAGTATTAGGTAGAAATGGAGATGGCGGCAAAAGCTCTACAAGTTGTGTATAGCAAACAGAAAAAAAAAAATATGAATAGGAAATAAGATGCATTTCTTTATTATATGCAATAATTTGATTAAATTCCTTGTAAAATGTAAAAAATCATATCTTTTTTATATTTACAAATCTAAATAACCAAAAAAATGTTATGGCACCCTGGGCAAAATACTAACAGACGCCTCCCCTTACATTTCTTCAAATTGTCCAGTAGTCTATTCCCTCATATGTACGAGTTGTACTAATTGTAGCTATATATACCATCACATTAACCATCCACTCTATATCTATAGCCAGTTTGTAGTAATTTCTCTAACTACATCAAATGGAAATTCCTTCAAAAATAATAATTTTGCTTGACAACTTGCCATGTATAATAGGCCTTGAAATATATGAAAAAGAATGAATCAGAAAGTAGATTGTTTTTTTGAGTTTTAAGGCATAAAACATCCAGGTCATCAGTGCCTACAAATTAATGCAGCTATGAGTTATTTCTTTATTTAGGGAAAGACTTGTATCTTGCGGCGTTAGAATGGCACCGCCCCGGCCTGGAAAGGTAAGTGCTCGTTTCGCTGCCACATTCGCGAGCTTATTTCCAATAATTCCCACGTAGATCGGTACCCAATTAAAGTACACCGATTTTCCTGGAGTATCTAGCATATTTAAATAATTATGAATTTTTAAGATATTTCGATGCTTCGGGAAAAACTATTTATTCTTTTTAGAGAACTTAGAGGAGAACTCAGTTATTATTATAATGTTTTGGAGGGTTATTGTCATAGAAAAGTGGAGGGCTATTACATGAAGTTCGGTTGTATATATACTGCACAGGTTATGTAGTTTTATTTTGTGGGTCGAATTATGGGTGACAAAAGAAGACGCTGTAGATTCGTCCGATTTAGAACCATCAGTGTAGATTAAATATAGTTATCAGAAAGTAGAATTTGGATAGAAATATGACTGTTTCCAATATCATTTATATTCACTGTATTTTTGTATTTGATTGATGGACGAGAACCATCAATACAAACTATAATTATTCATTTTTTTTTAATATCTTATTAAAAAATTAGTTTTCTATCATATTGTAAAATTATGTAAAACAGGTTTTTGTAATATTGAAAAGAGTTACCATTTTATTAAAATCATTTAACAATTCAATAATATTTTGTAAGAGATGTAAAAAATTAAAAAATATTTTTCTAAGCGATGATTTGTTCTGGATAAATTAATCATTAAAATACTCTATTTATACTTATTTGCAGTAGGATTTCAAATTTTTATTTTTTATATCTTATTTTCAAATAATAATGATTACAAAAATGTTTATTCCCTTTTCTAACTGAACTATTTAATAATGGACCAGAATTTCTGAGAACTTTTAAAATCAGATTCGTAAATAGTCAAAAAAATCTTAATTTACCTGAAATGACCATATCTAAATATTCCATTTCATACACAGCTTGGTATGTTAGTCCTCCATGTTTTTCAATTTTTTCATCAATTTCCTTCTTTACTCTCGTCTGAATATCTTGATTGATTGCTAATTCATAAAGGCAAAAACTCTGTACAGAACTAGAAGTTTCAAAGCCAGCAACCAAGAAAACAAAGCACTGAGCAGCCATCAAACCAATAGTTAACTCTGAAATAATCAATGTTAATATTTTTTTTAAATAAAACTCAGATTTTTATTTTTCAGCAGTATGATTTAGCACTTCCAATACCATATAAATATTTATTTTTCTCAGAATATACAAAAGAAAACTAAACCTGTTACTTCTATAACTGACCATTTAAAGAATTCAATACTGCCACGTTAAACAAAAGATGGAAATAATCAATAAGGGGTTATTTCCCAACTACTGCCATTCCTAATAACCTAGTAATGTTGGAAGAGAAGAAAGTGAAAAAAATATATAATGTATCAACAATTCCCAGAGAACTTGAAAGAGATATCTGCTAGAGCGCTCTAGAACCAGAGAAAACAGTGCTATTGATATTATTTTCTTCTATGCGTAAACACTTATGCCTGAGCTCTCATAAAACTTATTGCGTGTATAAAGACATGCAAAATGAGTTCAAAATTTGTATGAGAAAGGTAAAAGAGGATAGAAATCGAAACATAATGAATTAGTTAAGCTTATTCAGTTCAATTTTCTCATATACTAATTACTAAAGAAAAACAACACAATAGTCACTTTTGGATTAAGTCTATATATCACTGACATAATATAAAATTAGACTAACATATTAGCATTTATTATCATTTTACCAAATGGCTGACACTTTTGTTCTTCTATCTCATCTTTCAAGTCATCTCCTACTGTCCCTTTATTCTTCAGCTGAATTAATAAATCTAGAAAATCATTTCTTTTAATATTATTTTTTTCCCTATACTCAATTGTGTTTTCTACAAGTTTTACAATATAGTCTTCAGTTTCTTTAGGAGTGAACCTTAAACAAAACTTTTAAAAGCATACTACTAAAGATAAATCTTAACAATTTGAATATAACAAACAAATAGATTATAAAGTATTGTTTAACTATTATATAAACTGGTTGTAAATACAATTTAATAATATATTAAGGCATGTCTAATTGTTATCATATTTCCACCCAAAATAATTGACTTTAAAATAATACTCAATCAAAGGTCAACAAGGAGATGGTACATTTTAAATATGTGTCTTAATTTTTAGAACATGGTTTTGAGAATCTAATATACATACAGTGGGCAAAAAAGTGTTCCTACACCCTGTTTTTGGCCAAAATGGTTCACTATAATTTTTTTAACTTTAAATAACAGCAGAAATAAATTACAAACTTCATTTTGTGTTTATTTTATGTAATGCCAAAATTTAAAATCTCAACCAACTTTTATAACATTAATATTTCAATTATTTGTACACAAAAAAAGTATTTGTACACTAGAGCAAATATTTATGATACGATAATTTATTTTATTAAAACAGTGTTTCAATGTTCTATTTATAATCTGTTACTGCAGAAGATTAAAGGATAAAACTGCAAATTGCTTGTTTAGTTAAGTTCTAAAAAATATTTCTTCAGCAATGAGTCGCAGGTCCAAAGAATTGAGTTCTTATCTTACCGATGATATTGCAAAACATTTTCAACAGTGTTTAAGTTTGCGGTATATTGGAAAAAAAGTTCAGACTATCTCATAAAACTGTGGAAATCATTATAAAAAAATTTAAATCCGGATCAGTGAACAATAAAGCCTGCCAAGAGAGAAAACCCTTAACAGTGTGAGAATCTCGTGAAATTGTACTTACAAGTCGCAAAATTTCTGAAATTAAGTGCTCAAGAGATTTCGGCTCACAATGCGTCAGCTTATGGGAAATCTGTAATATGCCAAAACAAGAGGAATCGGCAACATGAAGCTATAGAGCCAAAGCGCTAAGAAAAAATCTTTTATAAACAGAAAAAAAAATTTGGAGTTTGCCCCAGACATGTAAATAAACCCAACACATTTTGGGAAAATGTGTTGTTTTCTGAAGAAAGCAAGTATAATACATTAGGATCTGATGAAAAAAAATATGTTTGGTGGAAAAAAGGATGGGCATTTGAATCCCAACATCCACAATCCACACTGAAGCATAGACGGGTTTGGAGCAGCATGGGTGCCAAAGGAGTTTGTGAACTAGATTTTTTTGACAGGATTATGAATGCTGACAAATATGTGAACGTGTTGCGATTCAATTGAAATAAAAGTGTGTGAAACTTAGGAATGGAGAATACATGTAAGCTTCAGCAGGACAACGATCGCAAGCACACGGCCATAAAACCAAACAATGGTTGCTGTATAATGTTAAAAAGTTCTCAAAACACCCCCACAATCACCGGATCTTAATCCATTTGAAAATTTATGAGCGCTGCTGAAATTACAAATCCGAAAATATTCTTGTTCCTCTTGGAATAACTTATTAGCAACCTTAAAAAATCTTGGAAAGAAATTGGACCAGAGACCAAGAGAATTGTGGAACCGATGCCAAGGAGACTCAATACTGTGATAAATGTGAAAGGGTACCCTAAAAAATATTGAGATTAATATTTATTATATTTTCTTTGGGTTAGTTAAATGAACGAATATTTTTTTTGCCCTTCATATTTGAAAATTTTGATATTTTTCATACAATATGAGTTATAAAATTTTACTTTTTTGTACAATTAATGCAACATGAAATTTCTAATTGTTAAATATAGTTACTTTATGTAGAAAACATAAATAAAACAATTTTTAGCTAAAACATATGGTGTACTGATACTTTTTCTGACCAATGAATATTTACCAGCTACATTTGAATACTTATAGAGATCACAATCAGACTAAATTTATTAGAATTTGGTATGTACGGTAGTTTTCAAGGTGAAACAATACCAAAACAGTAAGAGTAAATTTCAGTCAATACTTGTCCACTTCTACAGTATCCAAAAATTTTTAAAGGTTTTGTACATTTCAACAGCCTCCTTATATTCAGGTATAGGGCTGAAAATTTGTATAAATAAACGGTGACCTTTTAGTGTGCATGAAACTTTTTAATATTAAAATAACAATAATTTGGAAATAAACAAAATAATGTAAAACAAATCATAATAATTTAAGATGGTTTATTTCACAAGTTTTGAATGTAATCTTCCCAGCTCAAATTCTTCCCATATGAGCCTTCATTGTTTTTTGGCATAAGGTGTCCACCATTTTAATACAGTGAAATTGGAAAAAAATAATAAAAACTAAAATAAATTCAGAAGCTCTATTGACTTTAAAATTCTATTCAAATTCATGAGAGTGGAGTAGCTCAGTGTGTGAGAAGATGAGCTCTTCAGTTAAATTCTACCTATGGCAGTTAATTATTTATTCTGTTGTATCAGCCATGGAATGGTCCTCGGGGCTGGGAGATCCTCCTAGGGCTCACCAAACGGTTACTCTATAAAGTTATTGCTCTTAATTAATGGAAAACCAGACAGTTGGCCATGATCCCAGTCAAATTACCTCCATCCAAAGCTGATTACAAAGAAACAGTTCTTACTTATTAAGTACAGAACTCAAAACCCTCTATGCATCGTAGATGTATAACTTTTTATATTAATTTATTTTTTCTTTTATTTAAAATACTTAGATATTTCTAAAACTATATTCATATATGAAACTTTTAAATCACTTTTTATCTATTTTCCAAACAAAAATCTGGGAAAATACAACCTTAGTGATGGATCTCTGCTGCCGCTCCTTCTTTTTTATATTTAGGATGTAAACAAATATATATATATATATATATATATATATATATATATATATATATATATAGACATTTTAAATGGCTGGACTCCATTAATTTAAGTCCAAGAACTATTGATTAATATACCTGGCCTCAATTTTATTGGCAAGTTTTGGCATTGCTTGTAAAATTGCTATTTTGACTTTATCCATAAAGTTCATTTTAAAAACTTGGGCTCCAATTTGTCTTAATTTATGATCTGGCTCTTTGATTGTATTACTATCAAGTCCAAAAGCACAGCTGCAAATAATGTCTGTCATAAGTCGACCTATTAAATCCTTGACATCCACATCACAACCAATTTTTGACAATATCAATGAATCAAAGGCCTGTAAGATAATATTAAAAATATATATATTACGAGACAGATTTAGCATAGTAAATTTATGCAGAAAACAAAATTGATATCCTAATAATTTATAATTAGCTGTAAATATGGAGAATAGTTCCTCCATGTAAGTAAAAGTGTTTTTGTTAAACAAAAACCACAACAGCAATAATATACAGTGCAGTGGGGCAAATTGAGCTGTATTAGAATTGTATTATTAATTTCTATAACATAGCAAAATATCTCAGTTATTAAAGAAACTTAGAAACAATCAAAGCTAGCTATCCAGTATTAAAAATTCAACACTTGAATTCAAGATAAAGAACATGGCCACTAAACTAAATATCAAATATCTCCACATTTTTAATCAAAATTAAAAAATTAACAAGTTTTAATGTTCCCCTCACTTAAAACTACAAAAGAAATCTGAAACACCATTTTTTAGTTGTTAAGAGTTTCAAAGTATGTAGTGAATCTCTACATAACTCAAAACAAGTAAAAAAAACAAAAATCAGAAAGTATCTAGGTGGCCATATTTAGACCATCATTTTGGGTAGGAGCGTGGATGTAAAATAAGAATACTTTTCATGATTCCTTCTACATTGGATTAAGAACTAATTCCCATACTTGCAGCTAATTATGAATTATTAACAAATCATATCTTAAATTCACTCGACTAATTATAAAGGTAATATAACAATTACTGTATTCACAAATATAAACGTAATAACATAATAAATAAATAACATGAGATGAGGAGATAGATTACTTACAAGTTATATTAGTTAAAATTAATTAATATTTTTAATCAAATCAAAACTAACAACAAAGATCTACTACAACTTTGAATGATTTATTTATTTTTTTTTCATTCTTGCCTTGTCTGTATTTTAGCTTATTATTTATATTATATTATATTACATTACCAATGAAGTTAGCAAATACCATCTGCATTATTGCCATATTTGTGATATTTAACTGGTCATTAAAAAAAAAATCATTTTACACCAAATCAAGGAGTGTGGTAGCTTAGTGAGTAAGACACTGCCTTCTGCCATGAGTCTTTTAACAGCCTTAGTGTAAACGTCTGATTTTAAGGAATTCGAGGTTCATGTTTCTGACAAATTAGAACATGATTTAAGAAGCACAACATCCATGGTGCACCCTTTGTTTCAGAGATCACAGTTAGGGGATTCCACTACACCTATAAATATTTTTTTAAATAATCATAGCTTCTGATCATTCTGAATTCTGTAAGTGTGTCTCTACATGGTTTATCGATTAGGACATGCCTTTCTTCCTCAAGTAATACAGCCCATTTTTACAGCAAACAGCACTTCTACTCCTTAAGCAGTTTATTTTGAAGGCATTTCTAGATTTCATTCTTTGCTCTACGATAAGTTAACTTATTCTCCAACTGCAGTTTCATTGCTCCCTCCTTCACTAAACCAACCACCATGTCATTTCTACATAGTCCACAGTATCCTTGGACCCATTATATAACCTCTCTCTTCACCAACAACAGTTCTTCTATGATCTCTAGGTCTAGGAGCTGCCTAAGAATTAACTACTATTTTTATAAATCACTATTTTTTCTGCTTCTTTTTCTACCAAAATAATCAGAGCCATGAATTTCACTTTCGAAATTTGAAGCCCATTTCACAACCGGTTCTGATATTTAGAAAATGGAAGAAAAGACACATGCACCACCATTACTCATAGTCTCTTCTGCAGTTCCATCTGTGTAAACATGTGTCCAAGGTGTGATATAGTACTTGATGTTTATGGTTTCGAGAGCAGGTGCTTTAAGTAATTCATTGCCCATCTTTGCCTTTATTATTGGTTTTTTAGTTGCAATTGGATTGGCGCTATCTTTGCTGGAATTTTAAGAGGAAATGAGGGAAAGTCCCTCTATTAAAATTTGTAAGTTCTCTGTAATGGAAAACGCCCTGTATTTTATCAATGAATGTTGTTTGGATTTTAAAAAAAAAAAATTGTATTTTATAGCCATTTATAGTCATTTAATTGATTGTCCAGTAATCTATAGGAAGTATATTAAGTCATTCATAGAAGTTCAATGGATTCTTTTCTTTTAAAAAGTTCAACAGTTTAATGCCATTCTGAATTTGAATGGTTTCAACAGGAGTGGACCTAGGTAGCCCAGTTATAAGTCAACGAGCTGCATTTTGAACTTTTTCCGCTCTTTTCAGGACATTTTCGAATGCTGTTAGGAGTTCTTCACCATATTCGACTGTTTGGTGAACATAGGATTCATAAGCAGTGATAACATGTCTTGTGTTGTCCCCCAGTAATTTGTTTTAACATGATCCTTGCAGATCCTTTCTAAGTTGATTTTTCAGAGTGTGCTTTCCACATTAATCTGTAATAGTAGCAGGTATCTGTAATCTGTAATAATAGCACCCCTGATTCCATCAGGATCAGCACTATTTCCAGGATTCAGATTCTTCAAGTCATCTCCAAGGGTCAGCTCAGCATTTGTAAATTCAGAATTAAAAAGTTTATCTTGTTCTTCTATGAGGCATGTTTAAGATATGAATATATTTTGTAATTGTTTAGATGATTTAAAATTGTTAATGGCAGGTTTAACAAAGTTTTTGGCCATACCATTTTTATTTGTAAGAATTTTTTCTTTGTTAACCACAGAACTGTTCCTTGGATCACATTCATTATTCAGCTTCGAAAAAAACTTGTGAGTCTTTATACCTTTCTTTGTCTGGATAGAAAGGATTAACTGAATTTTCAATATTCAGTGCCCAAAGCAGAATTGGGGGACCAGGTTGCGGTGGTCGGACCATGTTGCAGGTGACTTAATGTCCATCGGAGTAAGAAATTGGATGGCAGCAACACAGAAAAAGGCCATATGGCAATTGCTGTTGGAGGAAGACGAGACTCGCTTACGGGTTGTTAAGCTCAATTAATGATAATATAAACCTTTCTTTATCTGGATAGAAATTGATAAACTGAATTTTCAATATTCAGTGCCCAAAGCCTCCCGTCACACCTAATAAGCTGTGCATGATTTTTCTTCCACATCAGGATGAGATGAGTGGCCACCATAGAATAGAAAGGTCACTTTTCTTCTTTGTTTTTCTGTGAAACTCACAGGGTTTCAATAAATAAACTGCTACCAAATTCACCCCCCACTGTATCAGTAGAATCATAACACCATTTTACTGAAGGAGCATTGAGATTTCCACAAAGAAAGGAGTTTGGATTCCAAGATGACTCTAGCTAGTCTAGGTTGGTTTGTTACAGGGTGGATTATATACAATGAAAAAACGTCTGTGGACATTATTCTTCCAAATTTTCAACTCTACTTTCTCTATTTTGTTACAGGCATTCATCTCTTTTCTGATTAAAAATTTCATAAGATAGATTGTTTTTCAGCAATAATGACTGTATGGGAAGGAGGAATTTGGCTGTTCCGTGTTAGTGAGTATTTTTGATATCCAGGCATTTGTAAGAAATTAATGTTGCTTGTAGCTGCTTCTGCTCGCACAATTACAAAAATATCAATGTCATGTTCATAAACAATAGTTTTCAGCTCTATGTATTTGTCATTTGTCAACACTCCACTATGCCAGATGATAATCATTAAGAGGGTATCATCATAGCCTTAGGAATCTTTTTTTTTTTTTTTGTTTCAGACTCTGTTTGCAGTGTTTTTTGCAGATTTCTGGTCTGTTATAGGCAACAGCTGTGATCTCAGTGTTCTCTTCAAACACTTAATGCTGTTGAAGATATCTAGCAAGTAGGTGGTTTACAATAATCAGATGTAATCACAATCACTCCGACTTTATCAGAGACATTAGGAACAAATATATAAAAAATGTATAGAAGCAATCAATTAAAAAACAAAAGAAGTAATATCTATAAGTTTTATGATTCTAATCTGATATAGGCTACTACACTGTTTCTTTTTTAATTATTAATAAACAGTAAATTGCTAAGAATAATTTGATACCTCAGCACAGTTGAGAAAGAGTGGGAACATAGCTTTCATTTTGCCACTGGTAAATGTTGGAGTGAGTTTCAGCCGCAAGGCCCTCCACCTTTCACCGTCCAGATTGAACAGATGTTGATTGAGAACATCTTTTTCACTTCTAAATGTGAAAATAAAGTTATCTGATCTAATTGATAACCACTATTTAATGCATGGAAACTGTTTAAAAGAAGCAGCACTTCACAAGAATTTAAAAATAAATAAACTTAAACTATTACTTCTTCAAAATGTCATAAAATTATTATTAACAGTCATTTAAATTTAGTACATCTTAAATAGGTCAATATTATTTGATAAACTTATGAGTTCTTACATTTTTATAAACATTCTCTCGCGAAAATGAGAAAATTCCTTGGTAAGTATAAGTTGAATAAGATCTGGATCTCTAATTTGCAACATTGGTACTCTCATGACAAATAATCCAAACATTGGATTAGGAGCTAATTTTTTGTACATCTGAAAGAACATTCCAATCTATATATAGCTGGTATTTTAAAATTAGTATTTCTTAATAACTTTTTAAAGCAAAGGTACAATTAAAAACATAATACCTCATCATGGATGTAGCCTGGAAATCTCGAGTGAGTCAGGATTTGATGAGAGCAACCAAATGGGAATGTAGAGGGGTAATAAGGAATGCCCCTCTTCTCCCAAAGGTCATAAACAGAAACATAATATTTATACAGAAGCCACAGTACCAGAAGTGATAGTGCAATTACTAACCACATTATCTCTCATACACCTTAAAAAAATATATATAAATGAATAACTTGTCATGTTTGATTAAAATTATATAGGTATGCCATATTACTATATAAACATTCAAAATAATGGATATTATATACTTCACAAAACAAAAAAATATAACAGTTGAATATGATTCTCTATAATCTATTTGGAGAAGTCCCCATAATTTTTGTCGTTTTTTAAGGATTTAGGCATCTATACAGCCTCTTCTTATTGAGTTAAGAGGTTGAAATTTTTTGTTTAAATTTAGTTGATGTTTGCGAAGTGCCTTCTTAGAGGCTTACAGTTTTTCGTGTTTCTTTAAAAAGTTTTCCTATCAAATGTAATTCTTCAAAAGTTAATTAGAGGGTTGCCAATTTGGATGTTCAGAGGTGCCCAGATTTCCCTCGACTGCCAAGGACAATCCTTTTAATGTGAAGTTAATGTGTTATTTTTATTGATTTAGTTTAGATTGACCAGGGTCATATCAGCTCCATAATAATCATTATGAACCTGATGATGGCTTGAACAAACGAAAACACTGTTTTGACGAGTGCATTAATAAGTGTTGAAATGATAAAGCCTAAATTATTACAAAAAGTTATTCTTTTCATTGGGCTAAAAATGTATTAATTGTTATTTTAAATAACTTATTTATCATGAAAGTTTCAGAAAATACCTATCAAATCAAATATATGAGGTTACTTAAATTAATTTACATGAGAATTATATATAACATTAGATCAATTTTATTCTTAAATGTTATTTCAATAGTGATAGATATGGTGCTGGATTGGACACTTACCTCTCATGATATATGATGTAATAAAAAGATGAATTTATACCAATTCTGAATTAAATATTCTCCCTAAAACCTAAGGAACTTCATTCCAATAAACTTATTCGTTAATTCTGTATTCTCCTATTAAATGTGTAGGTTGGCATGATAATCAGTATACTTCTTTGAGTTACTGTTTGTTTGTGGTTATAGAATTCTTCAATATATTATTAACTTTTATAAAAATATTAATTCAATCTGCATTACATGTCATGTTTGATGATTGGGTTAGTCACCAGGTCACCATTAGCTAGTTAAAAGGTCAGTCATATGGATTTATTTTAGTCTAATTAGTTGGTATTAAAAATTATGTTCTTTATAAAACACCTTTTAACAGGAGTACCCATCCCCCACTAGCAGATCCAAGGAAGGGACCCATGCCACCCCCTAGACAGTGAGAAAAAAGGTTATCTTGAAAAAATAACCAAACAAACAGCCCTTTTATTATTATTATTATTATTATTTTAATTGAAAAGTAAATTGTATTAAATAAATAACTTTTATTCATACTTGGCATGAAAAACAACGAATAATTTAAAAAATCTGAATATTTACACTAAAAATCGTTCATTTATGGGTTAAATATCTAAATATTGCTCCTTTATACGGTTGTAGATAGTTCTACGATTCATTAGGAAGAAAGAATTCAATTATTAAATTTCTTTCAAGAATATATATTATTCTACTAGTTTATCTACAATGGTTCAAAAGTTAGATCAACTATAACTTTATAATTCAATTCCGGGAATTAGCAGAAAAAAATAATTTTTGTCAGAAAAAAATAATTTTTGTAACATTCGTTATTATTATATTGCTCTAACTATAAATCTAAATCTATATTCATATATATACGCATATACACAGATACAATAACGTTTATTATAAAAATTATTTGTCTGCAAGTTCTCGGAATCGACATATAAAGTTATAACTGATCTAACTTTGAACCGTTGAAGATAAACTAGTAAAATAACATATATTCTTGAAGAAAATTTAATTACTAAAAACTTTCTTCCTGACGGCTTAATTGTAGAACGGAGCAATCAAGAGTTAGCTGGTCAAATATAGTAAAAACCATGAGGTAAAATTTTTTTCCCACATTAGCGGTAGTTGAAAAAGGATATCTCGGAAACTAATCGAGATAGCAAAAAAGGTACAGAATTAATCATATTACAAATTTTATCAGCTTTTATTTTGTATAGAACGTTTTCGTCGATGCAATGGATAGTTTTCCTGATAGAAGCGAAAACCCGAAAAAAGTGAGCTACTAGGCGCTCCCCCACATCTGGCTCACCACCAAGGAGTAGGGACTTTTTGTATGTTTACCTCCTTCCTAGTCCAAACAATGTCCCAAAGTCCAAAATTGTTTCGCCGCCATTTCCTACTATACTCCCTTTTCGAGCATTCAATGACTGGACTAAAGGTCGATGGCGCGAGAATCCCCCTGAGATATTTTATTGTTCTTTTCTTCTTAAAAACAATGCAAGCGAATGGAGAATTTACAAAATCGTTGATCATATACAATTAGGTACACTTTTTTTTTACCTCCCCTTTTTCACCTTATAGGCTATACTTTTTTTCCGGGTCAGAGGGGGAAGACGGAGGATTAATGCTGGAGTTAAAAGCCCCTCCAGCACCGCATGGCGAACTCATAATTATTTTGTCCAATTTATCTTCTATCAGGTTGCAGGGCAACGCAGTACTGTGCAAACGAGTTGGCCGCTTCGACCACCCCGCCGACACATACTCAATAAACTTCATAAAAAAAAAAATAATAAACTTAATGCGGTCTGTCCCATGTTTTCTCCTTGCCCCTTGGTTTAAAAGTTTTCATTCCGAAAATTCATAACTGTAAATAACTTCATAAATCTGTCCCCCTCAAAAATTAAAAACTGTCGAAAGGTGCCCTCTCAAAAGTTTTGATAGCGAGACTTGCGCCATGCAGGGGTGCCCATCCTCTTCCCCAATGTCAATGGCACAAGAACCTATCTCTCCCCCCACACCTAAGCTTGCACACTTTTCTTAAAAACATGGCGGAGGAAAGTATGATCAGAAAAATCGTAGATCATATAAAATTACACTTATTTGTATTGTCTACAATCGATATAATAAATAATTATGGGTAAATGGTTGATTGTAGTAAATAATGAAGAGAAGAATAGTTGGGGTGATCGGTCAAATAAGAAGGCAAAAATAAATGATAATATTTATTTCGATTCACTTCGATATAATAAATAGTTCTTGTAATTTTAATGATTCGTTATCTGTAAGCTTTAAGCTTTACCACCGTTTAAAATGCACTTCAAACATTTTGTAATAGTCCAACATTGCCAGAAAATAATTTCTATTCAGAGTAGAGCGGTAAGTGCAAGTCGTGTGTTGCGCGCACCAGATTTTTTATATTCCATTTTTTTCTTTAATATAAATTCTATAGCATGTGTTTTTTAAAATTAAATATATATTTTTTTAAATATATTTAGTGAAGGAATTTCATGTAGTTTTTATGGAAACATTTGGTTTTAGTTAAATAATATTAATTTTCAGAAATTATTATTTGCAATTTATTCATTACTCCACATTCTCTTCTATAACTTTGAATGTTAGATATTGTTATTCCTAAAATTCTAAGCTTTCCAAAGATGTATTATTCGTATAATTTTGACCTGTTATTTCCGGAAATACATTTTCAACCTAAAATACATTTTTCCTTACTTCTACTTTAGTAGATTATGCAATTGTGAAAGCAATTTATGAATTTGCCTTAAATTGAAAGGCATTTAATAATATACTAACCGATTGAGTTTAGCCAAAATCATAAGACCCGTTTTTTAGAAAATCGTAAAAATGAGAAGAATTGATGATATTAAGTGCCACTTCCGGTTTAGCGATTTAGACGAAATTTTTCTGTATCATTTCGTGCATATACAAACCTTAATACATAATTTCAGTTTCGTACTTTTTGTTTTTAAGCTAGACTGTTTACATACACGCAGATCATTTTGCCAGACTAAGTTATTTGGACTCAGAAGATCTCAAAACGTCTATTTCCGTTGAATACTAGGATTTGAAAATTTCCTCGATCGCAATACTTTCCCTCACTATATATTTAATATATAGGTATGTAAAAGTAAAAATCATAGATGGTATAACATACTATATACTAAGTCATTTGTGAAGAGTATAATTGTTTTCTGATATGCATATATAAGAAATGAAGTTCTACAAATATGATCTAGTTTTTTAAATTAATTTTTTCTCATAAAATAAAAACCACTTTTTTCAGTAACATAATTGAAATACTATGCTATTGACAACGAACTTCTGTCTAAATCGTGGTTGTAGACGATGGGCTGATTTAGTTTCGATTCTAGGTTTTAAACATTGTCGATCTTAAAAGATCATATAATGAATCAAAATAAACGTTTTGTTGTGGGAGCTAATTACACGTCGTTGACAGCTCGCTTGCCCTTGAAATACATTTAGAACATTGAACGCTAGGCTATAATTATACTCACGAACCTGACGTCAAAGACTGGAACTAGCCAAAGCCACAATTCTCAACAACCTCCAGCCCAGCAATGACCCTGCGTATCACATCACTCGCTCGGCTCCCCTCCACGCTTGAATTTCCCACCGAATGCGAAGGTCAAACATAAGCTCAACGGTGCTTTAATCGTGTATATTTTGTTTATTACAAAAATAACAAACTTGATAAAATACATAATTTTATGCTGCAATACTTTTGAATTAAAAGAATCCATTACAAAGCACTGGCGCAAACAATAAATGGTCTGATATCACCCACATGTGGAAAACAAAGTAAGCTTTAAGATTATATTAAAGCACATTCATCCTTATACTACATTGGAACAAAATAATTTCTTCTAAATCCATATATATAATATATATATATATATATATATATATATTTTTTCTCTGCTGTAGAAACCCTACAGAAGAGTCGTATGTTTCTATGAAATGTAAATACACCATGCAAAAGCATGTTATATTCATTACATTGTTATTTTTTTTTTTAAATTATGTATATAAAAAATATAGCTTATTACGAAATGGATTAGCTAAAGATACTTAAAAGGAATGATACTTAAAATATATTACAAAGAGAAAATTAAATAACAGTATCAGATGAGTGAACAGTACCAAAATGTACTGAAAAAGAGAAAATACAATAAATGAATATGATTAGGCAAAAACAAATAAAAAAATTATGTGGAGAAGAAACAAATTTTACAAATCTAAAATTGAGTATCAACAAAATAAGGAATAAAATACGTAAGTCTAAGCTACGATAATTCTAAAACATTACTTTTTTAATTGTCATCCTCAAACCTTTATTAAATAAAAGTTTTACGTTCGAATGTTACGTTGTAATTCTATCCTATAAATCAATTATTTTAACTTCTTCTTGTATTTTTTGTATAGTAGGGGTTCGGGAAGTGACCGTGTGTTCCCTTGCGTTAAAGGGGATTTCAGGAAGAGGGCCTTTTTGTGTTCATATAACTGACAGTCATTTTTAAATGTGTATGAAAGTTTGTGAAAAAGTCCGTCGTAATCGAATGCATCTGCCGTGTTCAGTACGGAATTGTGTTAGTTTATAATGGGTGCTTTTTGTTGTATTGTAATTTTGTGTGGTGATGTTTGGAATGTATTTATGTAATGGTCGTTCTTTGGTAAATTGTTGGCAATGTCCGTTCCACTCTTCGATTAGATCAGTCCATAAGAGTATTTTAACGTAAGGGAAGGGAGCTAAAATATATTCATAAGGCAGTTGAATATCAAAAGCACTTAGTTTTGCCATTGCGTCAGATTTTTCGTTTCCGTGAACGTTGCTGGGTCCCTTTATCCAAATCAGTGGGTAATTTTAGTGAAATGTTCGGTGTAAAGGAGCTGACGTGATTTTTAAAATGACTAGTGAATGTCGTATTCCGAACCAAGTTTTTTGTGTAAGCAAATTTAGGTGGTCTTGAAAAATACATTATCTAAAAACCGTCAGACATGGAAAAAAAATAGTATTTTTTATTACCTACTAGCTTTAATCAGCCACGCGCTATTGTGGTTCAGTCTGGCAAAATGGAAAAGAAAGAAAATAGAAAACAAATATGAGTAGATTAATACCAAAGGACATCTCTCATTTTAAAAAGTTAAGAACAAATTTGTCTGTAACATAGCTTCAATTTAAACTAATTCTATTTTTTTTTTCATGATTCAACATTCTTAATCATCGGAAACAGTCTGAATTGAACTTATAAAACTAAAATTGACTTTATCTACACTTTCTGAAAATGACACAGATCCGTCTTCGATATGAAGTCACTCATTCATTTCTATCTTTATAATATAATACGACAGTTTTTTAATTTTAAAAAAAGTTATGAATGAAAAGAAAATTTATTTGCGACTTACTTAAAAAGTATACATTTTTTTCTTGATTAGACCCATTATTATTTGAAAATTTAATAAATTCCCTACAAAACGAAAAAAAAAAAAAAAAAAAAAAACCAGTGAAATCGGACCATTATTTACAAAGATACAGCCTATTGTAATTTATGTATTATTGCTTCTAATATTGTTTTCAAAGAAGTGTTGTAAAATATTAATTATCATTTTTACAAGCACGATTTTCGAAAATAACTTTCATAATTTCTGATATTTATGTATTAAAGGATAACTCTGACAATTTTTAATATTATGTTATTGCCTTTTAAAGCCCTAAAATGTACAGTTTTCCAGTTACTGTTTGAGCCCAACCTTATATCTGGATAGAGGTGTCCCTTGGGATCCCGAAGATGAATCTTACAATGCAATTTATCAAACGTTTTAGTTTCGCCTAGAGATCCCCAAAGACGCCCCTATATACCGTACAGTCAAATTGGGGGAAAATTAAGAAGGGCTAGGAGCCTATGGGTTTCAAGGGGAAATAGGTGATAGAAGTAGTTTAGGCGTTTTAAGGTGGATATGGTATGGCGGGAGGTATTGGTATCTATCTGGAAAAACCATGTAATTTATTCTGAGTGAATATCTAAGTCTCACTAAACATTTCTTACTGTATTTACATTGTATACATTAGGTACTGTAGCTAAGTAAGGAAAGTATTGTAATTGAAACAACTTTTTGATGTGCAGTTATCAATGGTTACAAAGGTAATAAAATAAATTCAAAACTAAATATATTTATTCTATGTCAATATATTTATTGTATGTTGCTTCTTAAATATAATAATTGTAAAAGCATCTATATGTAAAAAATAAATATATATATATATATATATATATATATATATATATATATATATATATATATGTATATATAACTACATTAAATATAAACATTCATTTAAGGAACTTGCTGGAAAAAAAATATTCTCCTAAACTAAAAAGTTTTTAATTTATATTTGTTGTGGAATAACATCAGTTTGTCATGGTGTATTATATCAAATATTTATTTGAATAATCAGAAATTAATAAAACATATTTACAACTTATAATTACTGTAACTCATTCTTCACAGAAACTGTACACAAATATACCTCATCATCTAGATATTGAGTAGATGCTATTGAAATTAATAAAAAAATTTAAATGCGACAAAAACATTTTTGATTATATTCCTACTTGTAAAATACTTATATTTATAATCTAATAATGAATACATATAAAATTTATGTCAAACTGAATGAAATAAATATATTTTTGTATGCACAATAGTATTTAAGCTCAAGATTGAGGTACTAATTTCAGTACTATTGGATCCTTTGGAGCTGTTATCATCGGAGAAGGACCTAGTACTAAAGGTATCTTAGTTGCAGCACAAGGTTCTACCCGACTCTTCCGTAGTAGAGTGATAAGACCTACTTTAGTTTGCAATTGTCCAAATCTCATGCCTGCATAAAGAATATTATTAAAGTTGTTTATTACACTTTTAGTTTTATACTCAATTAATTAAACCTACCTATACACATTCTAGGCCCTTCTCCAAAGGGGAGATAAGTGTATGGTTTGATTGACTCTCTGTTTTGTTCCGAAAATCTTTCTGGATTGAATTTCTCAGGATCTGGATAATACTCAGGATCATGATGTAAAGACCAAACAGGAATTAAAATAGAGTCACCTGCCTCTATTTTATAACCATATCGAGTTGTAATAGATTTTGTGCAATACCTCATTAACAATGGCAAGGTTGGATACTTTCTCATTGTTTCTAAAGAAAAAAAAAGTCTTTTTAAATACTTTGTTTTAACACCATAGTACATTGGTTTATAAACAAAACTAGTTACTTTTCTCACTTATTTATTTTTTAAAATTAAAACAAATGTATTTGGGATTTGTTCCAATCATCTGGATATCACTACAATATAAGGATAAAATAAAATTTAATAGAAATAATAATGAAATGTAAGGTGCTAAACCGAGTAAAAATAATTTTATTGAAATAAGAAGTACTGAGATTTTTTTGTTTTCATTTCTGTTGGAAACTTCTTGATGTTTTGCCACCTAAACCAGCCTTTTCCATCTCTGCCTAACTTGGGCTATTTTTTTCCAGTTATCTACATGCAGCTCTATTCCATCTTTATTAATTTGATCTATCCATCTGGTTATTGGCTATTAACTTACTCCTATTGAGGCATTCTTTGCAGTACAAGCCGAGAGAGGCTTCCTGAAATGCTCCCAGCTAGTTGTCCGACCCATCTTAACCACATTGCCTTCATGTCATGAGATATTGATTGTTGAACCAGTTTCTGTAAGCAGTTACTTATGAGACCTTCTCCTCCATGCGCCAGTACTCTGGTTTCATATCACTCTGGTTATCGAGCAGAGAATTTTCCTCTCAAATCTTTCAATACCTCTTTCTATGATTCTGGTTAGTGTTCAGGTTTCATAGCCTTACATCGAAACTGGCTTTATCATAACATTGTACACTTTAATTTTAGATTTTTTGAGATTTCAATAATTTTGAAAGAGAGAAAAAAGCTCTGTCCATTCTTGTTATATGCTGGTATATTCCTGACCGTTGGTCATTCATTCATTTAAGTTATGGAACCAAGACATTTCAATATTTCTATTCTCGAACACTATACAGATCCTGTTATTGGAGGGGAATTTTCAGTTCATTGTCATATCTTTTGTTTTATCTTCATTATTTGTCGGCATATTTGCTCTGCTTCTCTTATCAGAATCTTAGTGAGTCTCTCAATGTCCTCTTGAATGCTTCCAAGGCTCTTGACTGCATCGTCTGTATATCGATACATTTTATTTTATCACGACAGGCTCCTCTTCATTTTCATGTGATATTCTTATCTCCTTCTCTTGTTCTTCAACTTAGTGCTACTAATTGAGGAAGGCTTCAAATACTTGTTCTTATATTAGGAATTGATATTTAGTGTCTTTTGTACAAGCCGTCATCAATCTCACCAAGTTTCCAGGAACTCTGAGTTCAGTTATGCACTTACATAAACATTATGGTTTTATTGTTATAAATTTTAATGTTTAGATATAAATACAATTTTAATACTAATGATAATTTTCTAATGATATCCTGATGATGGAGAATAACTCTGAAATATTGACTAAAATACATTTGTTTTAAATAAAAAAACATACAAAGAAGAGAAACAATATTCATGTTCTAATACATTTTTAAAAATAATTTGTACTTGATTATTGAGTACAATAATTTGTAATTCATTTTCTAACTGAACTAATATATAATAGACCTAGATCTCTAAGAATGATGCTTTTAAAATCAGTTACATTATATTAGATTTTATGCATAATATTATATTACATGTTTTTAAATTTACCTGATATAACCATATCTAAATACTCCATTTCATGGACTGCTTGGTATGTTAGTCCTCCATGTTTCTCAATTATTTCATCAATTTCTTTCCTAACTCTTGTCTGAATATCTTGATTGACAGCTAATTCATATAAGCAAAAACTCTGTACAGAACTAGAAGTTTCAAAGCCAGCAATGAAGAATACAAAGCACTGTGCAGCCATCAATCCAATAGTTAATTCTGAAATGATCTATATTGATATTTGTTAAAAAAAAATAAAACCTTATAGATTTTTATTTTCTATAGTCTTGTTTTGCTCTTCCAATAACATATAATTATTTTTTCCAGAACATTAAAACAGCAAATTATGCCATGTCACCTAAAAAAATCAATAAAAAACTGAAATGCCAACATGCCTAGCCCTCGCGTATTAATTAGTCTATAAAGTCTATCTTAAGTTTTCAATAGCGAGATTTTATGAAGTGTTTTTGGCCTAACTAGAGAAAATTATTTCAAGAGGCATGGGTATAATCTTGTGAAATTATTCAAAACTTTCACTTAATTCAATTCACTTATTTATGAAAATCTCAAATAAACCTGCACAGTCTAATGAGAATACATGACTAACTGCGTATCTGAAAAAAAGGAATTAGATTGATGGACCAAATTAATCTAAATACATTATGACTTTTTCGCATTGTCAAGCACTACTGTGAAACCGATTTTTTAAATTTAGTAAGCAGAAAATTTATATCAAAATGAACAATTATCTATGGAAACATAAAATGGATGTCTATCTATGAAAATGAACATGTACATGAAAAGTTTAAAAAAGAGTACCAAATATGGGTAGAAATTACATATTGTAGATAAATATTTGAGTAATTAATATTATAGAAATTGCAGAAAACTACTTTTAGATTAAGTCCACTTTTCTACTGGTGTAATATAAAACTAGATTAACATATTAGCATTTATTATAATTTTACCAAATGGCTGACACTTTTGTTCTTCAATTTCATCTTTCATGTCATCTCCTATTGTCCCTTTATTATTCAGCTGAATTAATAAATCTAGGAAATCATTTCTTTTTATATTATTCTTTTTCCTATATTCCATTGTATCTTCTACAAGTTTTACAATATAGTCTTCAGTTTCTTTAGGAGATAACCTTAAACAAAACTTTTAATCTTGAAAAACATACCACTAAAAGTAAATTCTAATAATTTGAATATAAATTTAAAGTAATGTTTAGCAATTATTAGGGACCGGATTTTCATTTAGTGAAAATCCGAAAAATGTACAGCAAAAATGTCAAAACGTGCAAAATCATCAATATTCATTTAATGCAATATTATTTAATCGAAATCTTGAGTTAAACGTGAGATAAAAAAGATTAAAAAAAAAATCAAAATGTATCATTGAAAATGATATTCCAGATTATAATCGACAAACAACAACAAGATATAATATAACACAACAATAAATTATGATTAACCTAAATCTTAAAGAAAGTGAAATTTAAACAATAATAACAATTACATAAATCTAACATTGACTTAATACCCTTTTCTATCATTTAACAATAAAAAATTCAAGATAAAATACAAAAGAATTGGATAAAACATCTATTAATTTTTCTCAGAATAGGGTATCAATAATCAACAGACAAATAATCGAATATCTCTGTTTGAATTAGTGGTGCCCAGAAGAGTGTTTTCATGGCACAAGTTATGCCATCAAACGTTTTGAGAGGGGCATACTTTGGGAGGTTTTTGAATTTTTGAGAGGGGCACATTTTGGTGGGTTTATGAATTTTCGGAATGAAGTTTCATTCTAAGGGAAAAAGGGGTAAACTTGGTTTGCATTGCTTAACTTGGTTACCTATTGCAAGCACCTTAGCCCGCATGTGTATCCCAGCCCCCAAATATTTATTTCACAAGATACATTCATATATATATATATATATATATATATATATATATATATATATATATATATATATTTGTCTGTGTTTGTGTATCTCAGTGAGTTAGGCACTGGGCTGCTTAGCTCAAAGTCCCGAGTTCCAATCCGGCTGATGTCAAATAATTTTTCCTCAACTGTAGATCGATCATGGCATCAGGAGACCCTCCTGGGGCACAACCAGCCTCTATAAAGTAGGTACTCTTAATTAAGAGTTTGTGTGTGTGTTTTTGGTTTTTAGGATTTCGGGCACTTCTACAGACTCTTCAAAATGAGGTAGATACAAAGAGAAAATTTTATACAGGTAAACAGGAAGATCCTTTTAGTTTGTATGCCTTTTATTATTAAAACAACAATTAATTTTTATATTAATGCACATGGTTAAAGGAATGTAAAAAAAAATCAAAATTTATTTTGAAAATCCAAGATAGTTAATTTCAAAAGGCTCGAGTTCGACCTTGGTTTGCTGATAGGTTGAACTTGGTTTGTTATATAACCACTTTTATTGAGAACCAAACAGTTCAAGTTCCAAGAGGAAGGGCATCCATTAAATTGTTTTACTTTATATGAATTGATAGGTGTTTCCCCCATTTTAATAAATTATATTTAGAAAAAGATTTGAAATGTTGAATAACTATTATATTTCTACAACAAGGTTACTCTTAATCAAATAATTAATTTAGTGGAAAATCTGGCTGTTCACTATAATCTTGATGAAATCATCTCCTAGGAGAACTGTTGACTGAGAAACAATACATCCTTATAAAGTATTGAACCCAAGACCCTCCATGGGTTGTTAATATCAATTTTTTTCTTCAATATTTTCTTCTTCAATATTTATGTAAATAAAAACGAAATATTTTAATAACTTTTCATTTGTTTTAAAAAAAAAGTTAGGGAAAATACATTACTTATGGATCGCTGTTGCTGCTCACTCATTTTTTTTAAATTTATACATAAAATATAAAAAATACTTTGTAAAATATAATTATAACTTAGTCCCAGAATAAAGGTATTTTTTTATTTTATTCTATAAACAGGGTTTCCCGTAAGTAGAGGGAAATATTTAAATGGGTAATAGTAGACATCAAGATCTACAAAAAACTTCATATAAACAATTGCCAAATTTTCAGTGGAAAAGTAGAAAATTTAATTTTTTTTTTTAATCGAGTCACGTTTTTTGTTGAAGAGGAAACGATAACACAAAAAATATTTGATTTAAGTAACTAAACATTGCTCCATAGTAATTAGTAACAATTTCATATAAATTATTTGTTGCAGCTTCTTCATCTGCCAAAGTATTCAAATAAAGTTTAAATATTACCTTTCTCCTTCAGGGAATATCATACCATAGACAGGTAAATAGTAATCAATAGCTAAGTTTATTTAATAAAACCAATTAGGCAGACTAAGAAGGTTGTAACAATATATATATATATATATATATATATATATATATATATATGCATATTTGACATTTTAAATGGCTTAACTATATTTATATAAGTCGAAAACCTATTGATTATTATACCTGGCCTCAATTTTATTGGCAATTTTTGGCATTGCTTGTAAAATTAATATTTTGACTCTATCGATAAACCTCATTTGAAAAGCTTGGGCTCCAATTCGCCTTAGCTCATGATCTGGCTCTTGGATTGTATTGATATCAAGTCCAAAAGCACAGCAGCAAATAATATCTGTTGTAAGCCGACCTACTAAATCTTTGATATCCACATTGCTACCAATTTTTGATATGATCAAAGAATCAAAGGCCTGTAAGACAATGTTAAATTATATATTATCTTATAATATAAAAGTAAATAAAACATTTTTAGCAGATTGATTACTTACAGGTTAAATTAGTTAAGCTATCAAGCCATATTAGTTGAGTAATATTTTTAATCAAATAAAAAATAACTTTCATATGCAATAACCATTGATTTAATTTCATCGATATGATCTGCTGGAGTTGAATTTGGAATAACCGAAAGAATTTGCCGAAAATCTCCAGAAATTGTAACTCATGCACCTCCAATTAATTCCGAATTATCTTATAAATCTTTTATTGTTCACTGTAATCAATCAAATAATTGATTTTTTTTCTACATTCACTTCAGTTTATTTTTGTTGTTATTTAATCAAACTAAAGTTATTTAATTCATATATGAATATTTGATTATCATATAAATCTTTTATTGTTCACTGTAATCAATCAAATAATTGATTTTTTTTCTACATTCACTTCAGTTTATTTTTGTTGTTATTTAATCAAACTAAAGTTATTTAATTCATATACGAATATTTTCTGTAGCTAATGAAATTTAATTGATTATATTCTTTGATTTTAATTTAATCTAATGGGAAAAGTAATATCAATGTTTTATGATTCTAATATGATGTAGACTATTACACTATTATTTTTTTAATAATTATTAAACAATAAATTGACAAAATAATTTGATATCAAAAATACCTCAGCACAGTTGACAAAGAGAGGAAACATGGCTTTCATTTTCCCACTTGTAAATGTTGGGGTGAGTTTTACACGCAGGGCTCTCCATTTTTCACTGCCCAGACCGAACAGATTTTGACTAAGAAGGTCTTTTTCACTTCTTGACATAAACAAAAATGTAACATGATAACTACTACATTTATATATATATATATATATATTTATAATTTATACATTTCAACTGAAGTAAATTAAACAGCACTTGACATGTTTCATAATATTAATGTTAGCTTAACAGTTATTAAATGTTACAATGTTAGCTATAAAATCTTACAATAAATTAAAAACAGCCATTTAAATTCACAGCACCCTAATTAGGTCAATTTTATTTTATAAACCTATAATGAAAACTTACGATTTAAAAAACATTCTCTCTCGAAAATGAGAAAATTCCTTTGTAAGTATAAGTTGAATAAGCTCTGGATCTCTAACATGCAACATCGGTACTCTCATGACAAATAATCCAAACATTGGATTAGGAGCTAATTTTTTGTACATCTGAAACAACATTAAAAGTGATACAAGTGGAATTTTGAAATTAGTATTCCTTAATAAGTCTTTATAGCAAAGGTACAATTAATTAAAAATATCAAACCTCATCATGAAGGTAGGCTCCAAATCTCGGATGTGTCAAGATTTCATGAGAGCAACCAAATGGGAACTTAGAGGGGTAATAAGGAATGCCCCTCTTCTTCCAAAGGTCATAAACAGAAATATAATATTTGTATAGAAGCCATACAACCAAAAGTGACAGTGCAATTGCTAACCACATTATCGGTAATAAACCTTAAAAAAAAAAATCAATAATTTGCCATCTTTGCTAATAATAAAATATTCTATAAACATTTAATGTAACGAGTATTACATACTTCACATAGGAAAAATTATAATAGTGGTATTGGCTTCACTATGTTATTTTTTTTATATTTAAGTGTCTGTTATTTTTTCATGGTTTTTAAGGTTATTGTACCTCTCCTCTACAGCTCCTAATTGAGGAAGAGGATTAAAAAATAGATTTGTCAATTCAGTTGGGGATCTGAAGTACCTTCTTGGGGTACTAACGTTTTTTATACACCACTTCCGATTTTTTTTATGACTATACTTCCTTTTACAGTATGGGTATTTTTTAAAGATTTACTCGCCACCACACCCCTACCAAAGTTAATTAAAGGATCGAAAATATGTTTATGCAGGGGTGGCCATCTCCACCTAGGTCAACATTGTAGGATCACCCCCCCTCCCTTACATCTGATGAATGGCCATTTAAAGATTGATCAATAAGAGAGAACTTGAAGAACTTCAAGTTTCCCCTTAACTATTTTTTAAAAATTTAATTCAGAATATTTTCTCATGTAACACAGAGATTTTAAGGAGTAAATTTTAAGGGGGTAGTCTTCTCAGTCAGTGGGCCAGACTCTCCTATCATGCCCGCCCCCATATATCTACAAATTGCATATCACTCTGTTTCTTGCAACTAATAAAAGAAAAAACTAAAAAAATTCAGTGGACCCAATATCCAAAAATGGCGGACTAAAAAATTTGACTTTAGATGGTTTTTTGTCACTCACATCCAGCATTTGTCTTAATTTCATCCCTTTGATTAAAACTGGACATTCAGATAATCGTAAACATGAAAAAATATATTAAAATAGTTGGCTAAGATGTTTACATAAAATTTGAAAATCGAGTGCCGTTTGTAATTCAAACGTCAAAAATTGCGGGAAAAGTCTCTAAATAAAACATGTGAATTTAATCCGAAATCTGTAGTAAGCTGAACAATTTTATAATAAAAGGAAGTAAAACTATAAGTGAAGCAGGTCCTCTAGCTAAAAGAATGAATGACGGAATCGTCCCATAAAATGGCCGATTGCGAACCTAGCTGTTGTCAAAATGCCAAAAATGAATAAACGATTCGATCCTCAAATCTGTGTTTTATCTGAAATCGATTTTATCCTCAAACTCGACTTTCTGGCACAATGAAAATATTTATAAAATTTAATTCTAATTTTCGTTTCAAATTTTATCTATAATTGAAAATAAATTATTTTTTTCGCAACAGTACTGATAAACAATCAAGATATTGATAATGCTTGTTTTTTAACTGAAGACAATTATTTACTTAAAAATTGATTTTTTTTTAAATAATGGAGTGTTATTTAGAAGTTTTAATATAATTCAATTGTTATATATACATAAACAACTAAATAGAATTGATTCGATAAGGGTTAAATTATTTCCGTATTTTTTAAAACTCAAAGAACCCTTTTCCGTGTTCATATTTCGTCGACATTTTTAATGAAAAGAAATTGGTTTGACAACGGTGTGTAATGCAAAAAAATGTTTCCAAATCGGAGTTCTTGAAGTTAATGCGATTAAAAAATCTTTTCAGTATACAATAGCACAAGCGGATCCAGGATTTAATTTTTTGGGGGGAAGTGGGGAGACTTCACCCCAAACGATTTTTTTTTCATATATATAACGATAATTAATTTGAAAAAAAAGAAAGCAACTAACTACCTTTTATGATTTATTCATGTGCAGTGTTCCATTTTACGTAAGGATATTTCACATTTTCCGCGGCAAATGTGAAACATCGGAGAATTGAGAGTTCATATCACAGCCTTAAGCTTTCAAATAAAAATATGTAATATATTCAATTGCTTTGATGATATATTTTCAAATATAGCCATAAGCAAAAAATAAAATAATAAATAAAATATATTATGTTGTACACTGTATTATATTGTTTGTTTTATAATAAGTATGTTGAATATGTTAATTATAAATTTTAATTTTTATACATAATATAAACTACCGAGTTTTTTTGGGGGGGGGAGGAGGGAAGGGTCCATCGCCTTCAACCAGAATGGAAAGCCAACACCTATGACTGGTACAAATATGCTACTATATTAGTTTAGCAGAAAAACCGAAGAATCTTTTCATTAAACATATTTCGTGAATATTTATATACGTTTGTTTTCATGAAATTATTTTATAATAGCATTGTTGTGTAAGCAACATATGTGAGTATTTTTTAAATTTTTATGTTGACTTTACAAACCATATAGATTTTTTGCGGCCTAAACTTCTCCATCTCTGTCTATACACGGTCATTATTTTCCAGTTATCTGCATGCAGCTCTGTACCATCTTTGTTGATTCTATCTTTATTTTTAGGTTAATCATTTCTGACACATGGGGTGGGGATGGCTCTAGAGGCATAACCAAACCTTTTCTAACCAGAATGGCAATGTCGAAACTCATTCCATGGGTCCGCCACGAAATGATTTTCAACCTAACCAGACCGGATTTGTTGATTTCATCTATCCTATCCACTGGCACGCAGGCACTGGAGGGTGAGGGACAATCCCTCCAATATTTAGCAGCCTTTTATTTATTTATTTTTATTTTTTCATTCCCTTCCTCGCCTTTTATGCTATACGGGTCAGAGGCTATATAGGTTTTCTCGGGTCAGGGGTGAGGGTGAGGGGATGATGCCTGAGTTAGTCCCCCCGGCACCGGAACGCGAACTCGTAATTATTTTATCACCTTAACTTCTGTTTATCCAGTTGCTGGGTAAAGAGTGTTTTGCACACATCTTAGCCCGCTCGGCCATCCTCCCTCTCTCCTCCTCCCCCAGCCATTTACTTATAATAACTCATAAAAAGTTCAATAAACCAGATAAAGCATGTCCTTTCTCCCCAAAAAAATATTATTGCCCCCCTCACTTATATGATTAATATGTATCTATATGAGATATAATATCAATGTTAATTTAAACGATAGTAGATATAAGATAGATAGTATATAAAGATGGTAGATAACATTGGTTTGTTTCTTGAGAATATTTAAGCCACCATACATTGGGCAATTACAATCAACAAGTAACATCAGTAATATTTAGAAGAGACGACTCACCCCTGCCATTCTCTGCCTATATCCATACCAGGAATTCATTATTATTTTTTTTAAATATTTTTTCCTTTTAAATAAGAATTTCATCTGAAATAATTGCGTTGACAAAACTTTTTTATTCGTTGCTACTTCATTTGAAAATGTTTCCGTGTCCTATAGCCCAAGATAAGGCATTAGTTGTATTTATTATATACATGCAATAAAGGTACCGCATACCGATATTTCAAACAAGCAGCGCCCTTTGAGTTAATACTGAAACTGAAAATACAAAAGACAACGCTCCACTTGTGTTGAGTACTTAGGATAGTCATATCTGCCGCTCTTCCAAGCATGTGAAGCCCATAGAAATTTTTTTTTTATTTACACGCAAACCTCAAAGTGACTTTTTTTTCTTTTTTGATTTCCTGGTTTAAATGTTCTCTTAAAATTGAAAACTTAATGTATCCTCCCCCCCCCAAAAAAAAATTGTGATTGCGCAACTTGCGCCATACAACCCCCCTGTGGGCATCTCTGCAATAAACTGTAATGATGATATAATATTACATGCAATAATCTAATCCTTTATTTATGACGTTGTATCTCGCTTTTCGTCTTCGATGCATTTAACGCAGTTATTATTCTCCCTGACCTTGACCTCCAATTTTCTCAATCGCCGGCGCCTATTATCTATCTGGTTTTTTTACTTCTACCTAGTCTCATGCCACTATTGAGGCATTCATTGTTGTGTAGAGGCTTTCTGATCCTTGACCTCCTGGCCTTCATATCATGAGATATTGATTGACCAGTTTCTGTAAAAAGTTCTTTATTGGTCCGTCTCCTCCACGTTTTAGTACCAGAGGTGTCCAGAAGGGAGTTTCATGGCACACTTTGCGCCATCAAAATTTTTGAGGGCATATTTTTGGAATGAAAAGTTTGAAACCAGACAAGGAAAAAACATGGAAGAGCCCGCTGCATGTGTAATTGCATATCGTCCACTTTTTTAAAAATTCTAATATTGCTTGAACTGTTTTTAAGAAGAGCAGAACAATAAAATACATTGGGAGTGAGGGTAAGGTTCACGAGCCATCGACCTTGGGCAGGATGGGCACCCTTTTTTAGCACTATAAATCCAGATCCTGTTTTTAGGATGTACATTTAGGGTCACTATCATATATTTTGTTTTATCTTCATTTACTTGTAGGCCGATATGCTTTGTTTCTCTTATAAGAGGCTAGACGAGTCTCTTAATGTCCTGATTGCTTCCATGAATTTTATGATTCATTCCGACCTGCAACACTCCACTTCTCACTTGTTATTCTTATCATCTTAATATTTTAACTTAAAATAATTATTCTAATTGTTTATTATGTCACTTAGAAAATTTTTAATAAACTACAATAAATTCAGCGTTTATTCTTTTTATTCTACGTTTCTCGATGCCCATTTTGCAAAAGACAGAAGAGCACTAACGGATCCAGTATTTAATTTTGGCTGGGGGAAGGAGGGAGCTTCAGCCCGAAAACTTTATTTCTATATGTATACACCGATTATTACTTCGGAAAAAGAAAAAGAAACTCACTATGGTGTGTGGAAATGGTGTTTAAATGATTCTTGAAATCCTATTAAATAAAATTATATGAAAAATAATAGTTTTAGAGATAAGTGTTTAGTATTTATTTATTATGGGACATGGTTATGTCTTACCATTTTGGGGAGAGCTTCAGAACGAAAGCCTCCTCCCCTTCCCGTAGATCCGCCTGTGTTGAATAGGATCCCATTATTTATGAAAGGAAAACCTGATCGAAAAGTTTAGTAACAAGAATAAACACTAAAGTTATTGTAGTTTATTAAAATATATCTATGTGACTTATTATCCGATTAGAATAATTATTTTAAATTACATTATTTACAGGTCAATTACAAATTGTAACATTATATACATACTTTTTTTTCTGCTGGCATTACGGGTCTTGTAAATTGTTTGCCGCCTTAACAGGCCTTCTCCACCTCTGTCTACATTGGGCGATTTCTTTCCAGTT